ATGAATAATTATTCAAAGTGTGTATACATTTGGGGGGGGCACCCAGTATATATAATATCTTAAGCAAATATCCAGAAAAAGAAAGTAGAAATACAAAAAAATTGTATGATTTTTGGAATTTGGGACATTTTCATAGAACTTTGTGCTTCTAATCATGAACAAATGAATATGCATGTATATATTTCATTGATCTTAAGATATCCATTTCTACATTTTGAAATTTGGACCCACCTAAAATCAATGAGGACTTAAGTGAAATACTATTCATTTCTGATATTGTTATCATATTATTTTCTTTATAGTTTATTGTTTTTATAAATCCATAATGAGTGGATTTTACTGTTCTAATTTTATTTTTTTATTAAAAATTTTTAATGTTAACATTATTGCAGGTGTCCCCCCACCTCCCCCCCCCTTGGCCTTCACCAAACTATTGTCTGTGTCCATGGGGTATGCATATATATTTTTTATTTTATTTATTTATTTATTTATTTTAGCTAATCCCTTCACTTTCTTTATTCAGTCACTCCCACCCTACCCTCCAAATCAGAATCTCTGGGACCAGTGTCCAGGATTCAGATTTTTGTTGTTGTGGCTTAACCAGCATCACAGGTGATTCTTTCAGAACAACCCTAAGCCCTAACCTACCTGTCTTACAGAAAACCAGAGAAGAACCAAGCAACGCTTAGAGAGTTGGAGTTACACTTATTATTATTATTATTATTATTATTACACGTGGGCCCAGAGGAAAATGTCTCTCAAATTCTGGGCGAAGTCACACAGGAAGTTTCCTGTATTTATACCATTTTACCCTCTTTGTATCCAAAATATGGGGTTTTCCGGTCCCCTTTGCAAGTTCTTAAAGAGCCCCGATGGGGCTTTGAGACCTTGACCAAAGGCTTGGCCAGGTGCCAGCACTGATAACTTCGTCTGGGAAGGTTTAATTGCCTCTTTGAAATGGGAGTAGTCTTATTTTCCTTATTATTTAAGCCAGCAGGCATTTACAGAAGCCAGAAATAGCAGGGCTAAAATTTCAAACAGCGGGGGGTTTTTTGTTGTTGTTGTTTTTAAAATATATTTTATTGATTTTTTTACAGAAAGGAGGGGAGAGGGATAGAGAGTTAGAAACATCAATCAGCTGCCTCCTGCACACTTCCTACTGGGGATGTGCCTGCAACTAAGGTACATGCCCTTGACCAGAATCGAACCTGGGACCCTTCAGTCCACAGGCTGATGCTCCATCCACTGAGCCAAACTGGTTAGGGCTCAAACAGTAGTTTTTATATAAGATGGATGCTTCATCTTCTGTTCCCTCACTCCCTTGTTGTCCAAGTTATAAGTTGTATGTTTGGTTGGTTGGTTAGTTTTATGGGGAATACATTCTCTACATTCTACATTTGCCTTGATGCTAAGAGCGGATCTAGAGACATCTGGAATTCTAACAATGTCACCATTGAAGCCATGGGTCAAGTTGTAGAAGGTAGTTGTTCATCGGGCTGTTTTTTATAGGATGTGGGTTGCTTTGATGATGGACTGTCTCAAGACGAGAGGAAGTTCAGAATAAACATTGTAATGTGAAGAAAAGGCTCAGTCATGTAATAATTGAGGAGACTATGCCACATCAGTAAGAGAGAGGAACATTGAATTGTTGCCTCCTGTATGTGCCCAACTGGGGATTGAACCCACAACCTAGGCATGTGCCCTGACTGGGAATCGTACCTGTGACCTTTGGGTGCATGGGACAGTGTTCCAACCAACTGAGCCACATGGGCTAGGGCATTATGCTACTTTGATAGAGAAAAAAATATACATGAAAATGGTCACTATATGGAAATAATGGTACAGTTCTCAATGAAGATCCAGTTATCATTCATTTTTATAAGGCAAATATTATAGCATGTAAATATATAAGGCAACTTAAAAATGCAATGAGAAGTGGGCAGAAATACAATTACAGTAGGAAACATTAGCTTGCCTTTCAAAATTAATAAAAAACAAAGTGCCCTGTCACCAAAACATTTTGAAACCCTCTTTCAATTTGGTCAAGAAAAAAATTCAAATAAATAGTAACTAACTTATAAAATAATAATATAATCACAATGCATAAGAAACTGAGTAACCTCTAAAGCCATCATGAAAACTCATAACTTTAAGCTTTTTTATTATTGACTAAGAAAGAAAGCAAAAGTGAACCAAATGACACAACATGAAAAAAAAGTAAGAATAAAGCAGAAAGCTATGAATTAGGAGGTGGGGGAGAAAAAACAGAGACAAAGCTATAAATACATGTGAGATTTGAACCTTGAACCAACAACAAATAAATGGTTCACTGGCTCATATAATTTTTAAACAAACTTACATGTGAGAAAAAACCACACACATAAATATAAAGGGAACTTAAAATATTATAAGAAAGCTGGATGAAATGGATTATTTTAATATAAATTTTCAAACTCATATAAAATATAAATTAAATATTAATATAAATGACAAAAACAGTGAAAGAAATGGAGTAAAAACAAGGAGACTAAAAAACACAGAGAAAATTGTCAAACAGCTCCCCTTTGAGAACTACACAATGCTGACAATTTCACAGGGATAGCAATCAACTTCTGTCAAACTTACAAGGAACAAGATTTCACATGTTATTAAAATAGTTCCCAAGCATGAAAGCAAAAGAGGGCATTCAAACAGTATTTACAGAGGCAGCGTAATACTGACACCCAAATCTGAAAACGATAAGAGAAAAATACAGACCAATATTTTATGAATGCTATTTAAAAAGCAAAAATAAAATGATAGAAATGGAACACAGTTGCACATGGAAAGAAAAATGCAAAAGAAATGATTGCAGCAATTTCAAGTTCCACATACTAAAAGATCAAAGGAGTTAAAATAATTTTTCCACAGATGTTAAAAATCTGTAGAATTTTCAATATCTATTCAATATATTTTTCTTAATTTTTAGAGATTCTTAATAAAGCAGGATTTTTTAAATTCTATAAATGGGGATGGTGAAGAAATGTGTTTGTATATGTGTGTGTGTTAAGTAAAAAATCCAGCTTCCTGCCTAACAGTAAAACATTAAAAGTAGTTCCTTTAAAGTCATAAATGGGCTATAAGTGCCCCTATAGCACAACTATTATTTAAAGTTATGTTTTAAGTACTAACAATTAAAATCAGAAAAGAGAAATAAGAAGAAAAAAAACCACACAACTGGAAATGCACTCTTCACAAACTTGTGCTGAATAAAAGATAAATGAGCAAACAATGAAAGTAAAGGAATGTGGAACTGTTGTAGCCAAGACCTCAAGTGGGCCCTTGGCACGGCCTGGTCGTTGCACTATATGTCTGTGGCGTATACTACCCAAGACATGTATTTCCCAACCCCTTGCTCCTGAAGCCTTTAAGACATTCTCTGCCTTCCTTGCTTTCACTCATCATATAAACTCAATACTTAACACACACAAACACAGAGCGGGGAAAACCCACATCTTCTTCCTCAACTTCTCCATCTATTTCCTCATTTTCAGCTCCTTTTCATGCAAAATTGTTCCAAAGAGTCCTTGGTGGCTGTTAGTTCTGTGTCCTCATTTCTCATTCCCTTCTCAGTCAGTTCTGAGTGTACTTCCCCACTCCACAGGCACTGCTCCTATTAGAGTCAACGCCACCTCACCTTGCCCAATCCACTGGCCACTGCTTCTGCCCTCACCCTTCTTGTGCAAATACTCAGGGCTTTTGAAACAGTTGACTTCTTCCTCCATGAAATACTCTCCACCAGCTCCCATGACACTACTCTTCTGTTCCCTTTCAAGTCCTCATCAACACCCTTCCAGGTCCCTCCTTCACCCCAATTCAGAACAACTCCACAGTGCTCTGTTCTTGGTCCTTTTCTGTTTACTTTTAAAAAACAACATTATTGAGGTACATATACTTACATATCATAACATTCATTTTAAGTGTACAATTCAATGATGTTTGGTAAATATACAGAATTGTCCCAGCAAGATCCCTCTTGCTCATTTATAGCTCATTCTGGTATCCACACCCAGCCTAGGTAACTTCTGATCAACTTTCTCTGTGTATAGATTGGCTTTTCCTTTTCTCTTTTGATACATTCTCTGTATGTGTTGTCATATAAGCCTGTGGCATTATATACTATCTCTATGTCCAGGATAACCACATTTATGTCAATAGCCTCCGTCTTTCTTCCAGACTCCAGACTCACATATCCACTCGCCATTCAACATCTCTGCTTAGATTGAAATGTTGCTTGTTTACTCCCCTTGGTATAGAGACTAAGAGCATGGTCTGCAGCAAGACATCCAGGATTTGAATCTTGGCTTGTCATTTATTAGCCATGTGACCTTACCTTAAGCAAGTAACTTACTCTTTCTGTGCTTTAATTTCCTCATCTATAAAACAAAGTTTAATTAGAATACCTATTGCATGGTATTATAGCTATATTATAGGTATCGCAGAATTACTCTGTACCTAAATAGTGACAGGAATCTTGAAACCATAAATAGGACTAATTCAAATGAGAGAGATGGTGAAAGAAGTAACCTAGGACCTTGGTGATGTCCTTGAGCCCCTAAATTAACCAAACCTGGAATATTCTACCACTGTACTACTTGTTATATGAAAACACAGATGGTTCTTCTGCACCTCATGGCCAAAAGCATTCTGATATGTGACCTTGGTAACAGCACAACCATCCATCCAATTCTCAAGCCCAGCGCCTGGGAGTGCTCCTTGATTCCCACTCCCCCTCACATCTCCTATCCAAGGCTGATCAGCTCTTCCCTCCATCCTCTTTTTTCCACCTCCCCCTTGGTCCACCTTGATCCAAGCTATTTGTGCCAATGCTATAACCCCCTGGCTGTTCTCCTCGCTCCCTCATTTGCTCCTCTGAAATTCTCTCTGGACAAGTAGCCACAGTGATTTTTAACACGTATCCCTCCCTTGATTAAAATTCCTCATTTGTCTCCCCACTGCAGTTAGAATAAATCCAGGCTCCTCACCAAGCAAACAAGACCCTGTGTGATTTGACAGCTTTTCACCCCTCTGACTACATCTCCTCCCACCATATTCACAAATCTCCAGCAGAGGAAAAGCAAGAAAATCACCTGCTGATTATGAGTTAAGTCAACCCACCAACCTCCACAGGGAGAGCTCAGCTCCAGGTGCTGGGTTTTACACATACAACAGGAACATATTGTCCAGTGATGCAGGGCATGGCCTCTGGGATCATACACCCTTGGTTCAAATCTTAGCTGTGTGACTATGGGCAAGTTGCTTAATCTCTTTGTGCCTCAATTCTTTTAATCTATAAAATAGGGATCATAATGTTTTTATAAAAATGTTGTAGAGTAGTTGCCAGATTTAGAAAATGAAAATACAAGATGCCCAAATATTGCATAGAACATACTTACACTAAGGAATTATTTGTGCCCTGGTTGGGTAGTTCAGTTGGTTGAAGTGCTATGCACCAAAAGGTTGCAGGTTTGATCCCTGGTCAGGGCCCAAATGGGAGGCAACTGAACAATGTTGTGAGCTCTCTCTCTCTCACACACACACACATCAGTTAAAATAATTAATTAATGAATTAATGTAAAACAATGTCATTAAATATCAAAATTTTAAATAACGACAGGATCAGTATTACTGTTTTTTCCTTTCACTTCATGCTCCATTAAGGCTTGGCAGGACACTGATCCTGATCTTATCTGAATCTCCTGAACTGGAATTTTCTGGGAATGAGGCCCAGGAATCTGTATTCCATTAAGCTTCCCAAGTGACTCTTACATGTGTTATAGTTAGAGAAATACTGGAAAGATGATCTCAGTTATAGCTTACTTTGATACTTTCCAATGACATAGTGATTGGTGATATGAGGGGATGTTTATCTAAATATTAAACAATAGTCATTTTATGCAAGGGCAGTTAGAAGTACACACACACACACACACACACAGTGATTGGTTTAGGGCAGTGGTCAGCAAACCGCGGCTCGCGAGCCACATGCGGCTCTTTGGCCCCTGAGTGTGACTCTTCCACAAAATACTACGTGTGGGCGCGCACATACAGTGCAACTGAAACTTCGTGGCCCATGCGCAGAAGTCGGTTTTCGGCCTGGGCGAGTCTATTTTGAAGAAGTGGCGTTAGAAGAAGTAGGGGGTGTCGGTCGTCGGTCAGTCGGTCTGTCCTCAGTCGGTCTGTCCGGCGACAGGAGAGGCGGCACAGGCGGGCTGCAGGATACACAGCGCGGGGGAGGTATATTGTTTTGAGGTACGTTCGCTGAGGTCGACCCCTTCCAACTCTCCCATCCACACTCGTCTATCTGAAAAAAGTATACAAGATGAGTGTGGATGGGAGAGTTGGAAGGGGTCGACCTCAGCAAACGTACCTCAATCAGATTGAGGACATTTTTAGCAAAGGCCAGCTTAGGAGTACCCTAATTAAGTTAATAACAATGTACCTACCTATATAGTTTAAGTTTAAAAAATTTGGCTCTCAAAAGAAATTTCAATCGTTGTACTGTTGATATTTGGCTCTGTTGACTAATGAGTTTGCCAACCACTGGTTTTGGGGAAAAGAATTTTTACTCTAAACTTGCCTTATATTAAATTTGCCTCAAAGCAGCTAACATAGCAACAAGGTTCTGAAGCGATAATTCGCCTTTATGTTGACTGTTAATCAATCAATATTATCGAGTGCCCAAAGTCCATATGGCACTGAAAGCCAAATAATACAATTGTGAAGATGTAGCAAGTCAGAGAGTTCAAACATAGGCTTTCTACCTGGTGAACAGCCAATATACCTGCTAATGGGTTTCAACTCCAACCCAGTCTCTTGCTATCAGAGGCATACTTAGTACTTTTATAGCCTTCCATCTACCAAAAATCATGAATTTTTTCTTCATAAATATTTGTTCATTGTCGTGATTCTGTGTTACACCACCCAGGTCTCTCTTATGAGCTGAAGGAGTAATTCACCCCAGCTCTTGGGAACTTGTCTGATATCACTCAGCTGTCAACTCCTTTGAGAAGTGTCCTGGCAGAAGGGAGCCACCTTACACAGGGCCAAACTCCCTGCCAGGAGCAACCTGCACCCAATGACTGGCTAATGTCGGAGTAAAACGTCCTGTCCCTTCACCCCAATTCAGACCAACTCCACAGGCCGTCCCTGCTGTAGAACTCTAGTAGGATCAGCAGGATTTCCTTCTTCTGAACCCTGCCCTTTTCTCCTCCCCTTACCTTTGCTGATCCTGAGAACACTCCCTAATAAATTTCGCATATGCAAATCTCCATCTGGGTGTTTGCTTTCCGATGAACACAGCCTGTTCCACTTATGGGATTTCCTAACACATACTAATTAGAGGTTGAACATATGACGAAAGAAATATCACAAGGAACCTACAACCAAGATTACTTTATCCAGCAAAGCTATCATTCAGAATTGAAGGTCAGATAAAGAGCTTCACAGATAAGAAAAAGCTAAAGGAGTTCATCACCACCAAACCAGTATTATATGAAATGCTGAAAGGTATCCTTTAAGAAAAGGAAGAAGAAGAAAAAGTTAAAGATACAAATTTTGAACAACAAATACACATCTATCAACAAGTGAATCTGAAAATCAAGTGAATAATCTGATGAACAGAATGAACTGGTGATTATAATAGAATCAGGGGCATAGAAAGGGAATGGACTGACTATTCTTGTGGGGGAAAGGGGTGTGGGGGATGCGGGAAGAGACTGGACAAAAATCGTGCACCTATGGATGAGGACAGTGGGTGGGGAGTGAGGGAGGAGGGTAGGGTGGGAACTGGGTGGAGGGGAGTTATCGGGGGGGAAAAAGAGGAACAAATGTAATAATCTGAACAATAAAGATTTAATTAAAAAAAAAAAGAAATATCACAAGGAAACTAAGGTGATTCAGCCAGTAAGTTCTGCTAATCCTTGACAATAAAATGATTAACAACCTTCATTGGGATGTCAAGGAAGGCATCTCAGTATTTTTTCAAGTTTCACTTTCAATGCTATCATATCCGTATGTTTATTCCAGATGACTCTTTAAGTCTTTACAAAGGCCTTGTGCATTCAAGATTCAAAAGACCAAAGGAGATTCTAAAATAGGTTTTATCTGAGTGGATGTCCTTCAAACCCTACTTCATGGTGTGCAGATATGCATTTATAACCTTCTCCTCCCCTTATAATTTGATAATCAAAGTAGGAGTTTGGATGGGGACTGAGACAGAATTATAAACTACCCGCTTATTCCAACTTGAATTAAGTTTGAATTGAGATGTGTTCAATTCAAGCAGCTTTTTGTTGTTCTTTCTATAAGAAGTTATTGCTGTTGTTGTTCTTACTTGAAGGGCTAAAAGGAGCCCAGAGGAGGTGAGAGAGGTAGTAGGGTTTGGGTTAGAAGGAGGGCTTATCTAACCTAGCACAACCTAACACAGGTAGGTTACAGAACCAGTGTGATTATCAGGAGACACTAAAACTGTAGTCAGAATTACTAGTATCAGGCATCAATCTAAGGATGAGACAGGGAGGAAGACGAGAGAACAAGGAGCAGGCTGATCCTTGAGAAAATAAGACATTGAACAGAATCAGGTGTCCGGCACAATGTAAGGCCCGTGGTTCAGAACTAAGCCTGTGAACAGTAAGCAGATACTGGCGCTTCCTTTCCAAGGTTGCTTGGCCCACACAGCAGGGATCAGTGTGGCAACTTCAGCTCTGCCCTGGACCACCTTTTTTCCCTGCGCCCATCTCCTCAAAATCTCACCCATTAGAAATGACAGTGGAGACCGGCAGGTGGAGAATGTAATGGCAAAGAGAGGCTCACAAGTCCCCTTAAATGTCTAACTCTAACCACACATGCTTTCACATTTCACATACATTTCCTCGCACAGAAGAACAGCTCTCCCACACACTGCATTCTGGGGCCTCCTTGATCACATTACAAGAGCACCCTCCCATCACAGGTAAGCACCGTGTGCTGGGGAATAGGTTGTGGGGAAAGCATTGCTCTCCTCTGTTAGTGGGGTGGAAGCATCAGGGACAAGAGCTCTGCTTGAAAATCCCATTTTAGCCTATGATTGGAGCTGACAGGATCAGAGAAATGGAAGCGAAGTTTCCTTAGTCCAGATTATCCTCTTCCATAGCTTCCCCGATGAGATCATGGCTGGAGAGGCCAGGGTATGACTCACCCAGAATGTCAGGCTCATGGCCAATGTTGGTGATGGACAGTAAAGAGTTGGAGTTAGTTTGTTGCTGTTGTTGGGCTGTGTCATGTTAGGAAATAAACTTTTAACCCTAATTTTAAAATATCACAGGTGAGCCCCATATATCTTACCGTCTAAGTATAAAATTGCTCTTGCTCTTCTGCAATTTAAGAATACCTCTACAGGCTACATGAGAGTTCTAGAAAAGGGAGTCACGTATAGCCTGGGTAAGAGACCCAAAATATGCCTGTACCTGTGTTACCGGTGAGACGAGGAGACCTCGGTTCTTGTCTTTTTGAAAGAAAGATTTCAATCAAGAGACCAAGTATAGAAAAGCAAGCAAGAATGTATTGACCACAGCAAAAATATACTGAGGACAGTGAAACAAGGAAGGGCATAGAAGAAGCAACAGGAGAGCCTAGGCTGGGCTGCTTTGGCTCACTGGGAAGTCAGAGAAAAGGGGGCCTTGGCGACAGGTTCAGGGGGTTAGCCTGGGACGAGCTACCGCTGCCCGTTGCTCCCCGCGCCTGGTGGCCAGGGCAGCAAGCTTTCACCTTAACTTCTTGCTACCGCTTTCCCTCTTCCACTTGTCCTGGAATTTTCCTAGCTTCTTACTATCCTATTACACCACCAGTTTCTTCCATAGTTCACCCCCTTAGAATTCTGGACTCCCAAAAGACGAGTCATGACTGGCCTAACGCTTCCAAAGCCGGGGTAAATCTTTTTCCCAAGTGACAGCCACAAAGCAAACGCTGGATCACACCCCATCGAAAGGAAAGATAAAGCTAAACTCAAAAGCAAAACGAAACAAAAAAATGCCTGCGAATTTGCTCTGCCACCTTGAGCCACAGCATTCCCTTCCCTGGGTCTCCTTCCAACTGAAATCCAGAAGATTGCGATCTCTAACACCTGGCCCCAAAATTAATCTGACCGTGCCAAACCCCGCCCCAAGCTACCTGGAGGTTTTACAAGTTAGGAGTCTGGCTCCTCCCAGCTCCTCCTTCTCTTTTAATTCTTGATTAAATAGCTTCCCCTTTAATGGCTTTTGCAGGGGAAGTTGCACCTCCTAGGTCCTGCCAGCAGCAGCTCTCCCCAGCATGACAGCTGCCCGGTGCCTGGTGGCCAGGGCAGCCAGCCTTAGCTTCTTGCTCCTGCTTTCCTTCTGGCCGGACCCAGGTGTGGGAGCTAAGGAGCTGAAGTTTGTGACACTGGTGAGTACTCTTTTCTCACTGCTTTTCTCTCAAAACTGTGACCAGCAGGGTCTGAACATCGAGTGTCAGGTTTCTGGTTACCCTTCTGTTTGTTGCCTTGGGGAGACCAAACTGGGAGAGTGAATAA